TTTTTTTTGTTTTTTCTTTTCTAGTCCCGTGTGTCGGAGGGATTTCGCGTGTTCGTGTTCATTTTTCCACCATACACATACATATACATTTACGTGCGTGTCATTAGCCTTCTATTTCTAGCAGCTTGCATGTTAATGTCTAATCAATGATTTGGACTCGTGGTCGTTATAAATACAATTAAATTACAACGGTTTAGAGTAAATATTATCGTTAAAATATACGAGTATATACATATATAAATACTGTTACTCGCGCGCACGCGCGCACTCGTGTGTGTGTGTGTATGTATATATGCAATTTTATTTCATTACGTCTTCGCGTGCATAGTCGAGATGCGCACACATATCGAAATGTGATTTATCAGCAGGTACTGCAGAAACTCGGTTAATCGTCTTTTTTGTTTTCTGTCATATGATATAAAGTTGTTAAAACCGTATTACTTTTAATAAGTTAACAAAATATAAAATTTATTTAAGCATATATATATTAAGCCATTCACGAATGCATTATGAATATTTATATAAAATTATGATTTAAATGCTGTTATAGGCGTGGGTATTCCTAGAAATCTCTGGCATTAAAAAACAATATAGATACTATATCTCTTTTTTCAAGAATCGATAGTAATTTAGTTCTATTAAGTCTGTTAAATAATGAAGGTAAAATCCCTAAGGGTTAACAAGATTTACATGCAAAACTCCCGTATGTTTTATACTACAAGAATATTTATATATTTTAGTGCGTTGTATAACTTAATACAGTCTAGAAATAGTGATAACTTATAAAGAAGTACATTTAAATTTTTAAACAATTATCAATTATCATAGAAATTATTTAAAATAATGTAATAGAATCATTAAGCTTTTTCCATATAAGTCAGAAGAATTTTTACTTTTAATTGAAATTATAATATATTCTAGTTCATATAAAACAGTATGTAAGGATAAAAATACTCATCTCTTTTATAAAAATAAGAATTCTATCCATTTAAAATTTGTTGTACAATAATTTTGTTAACTACTACCTACTATGAGTCTAATCAGAATGAATGGTTCACTTCGTATGATATTAATATTTCATCAGAATGGGTGGTATGGAATGAATTAATAATGTTCGTTATCGTTTTAAACGTCTGAATTTATATATGTTTACCAAGTATGAAAATTAATTGTTTACTCTCTCAATGAGTTTATAATAAATACTTTAAGGAATTAACTTAAAAGACGAAATCTAAAATAAAAAAATTATCATTTTTATTAGCAAAATTAATTTTTTAAGTTTTAGTTAAAGGAAGAAAAATATTTCCGTTAATCATACATTTTTCAGACATTTGATAGGTAGTGAATCTAATTTTTTTTTTTTTTAAATCTACTTTGAATTTATAATATATTTCAGTACCTAGTTTTAACTAGTCATTTTTAGATCTTGAAATTACGTATAAATAAAATGAAGATTCAGTGAATCTAAAAAAATTGCATAATATTACATTAATCTTAAGACTAGTTTCCTAAAAAAACGATCATGTAAATCGGTAAACCTCCGCCAATGATTTATGACTGAGAATTAATAAAAATTGAATTAATTAAAACTTAAATGTATTGATATGTTTTTTTTTTTAAATCCCAATTAATAACGAATCTAATATCATTATTTTCCATTTTGAATTCGGCTCATATAATTTATATTGCTCGGAAATATTTATTTATATCAATAATAATTTTTATCGTACCACAAACAATTAAATGTATAAAATATACAAAAGTACTATTACGATTAGGTACTTGATATTTTATATTAGTTGTTATTGATTTACTGTAATACAATACTACTAATTTTATAGTAAATTGAATAATATTTTTAATGAATGCTATTACTAAAATTATGTATAAGTGAATCATAAATATTGTAGTAGTTGAAATACATGGCGTATCACGTATCTATCAGGTATTGTCGTGTGGAACCTATATAATATACGCTAAACAAAACATTAAATGCATTCATTAAAATTGAAAAAATGTTAGAAATGTAATTGTTTTCCATTGATCGATCACTATGAAGAATAAAATATTCTGAAGGTTTTTTTATATTTATTAATGCTTACAATTATAAAACTTATTTCTAACCATTCGAGTTGAGATTTGAATTACATATATTTACCAAATAAATATATGAATATTGAAAATTTTCTGTTTAAATATATGTATGTAAATATTATTATTACAAATTGGTTATGGAACAAATATAATAAACAACCCAGCTGTACAATATTTTTTAAAAAACTGATTTAATTTATATTTAATTAGTTAATTGTTTAATATTAAATTTAGTATGGAATAAAAATATCCTTTCTTCGAGTTCCGACATAATCAAACATCACACGGAAATTATTTGTATAGTAAAAAAGCTTCAAAATTATGAAAATGATTTGCATTTTGAAAAATTGAAATTTATATATTTATTGATTAAAAAAATATATCAAAAATTAGGAACATTTTATCTCCATAAAAATATATTTATTTTATTTTAAACATTTAAATGTTAAGTTATAGGTCATTTAATATTCCATGAAATCCCAAAAGCCTTAACTCAGTTAATTTATGGAGTGGTAATGTAGTTTTTCACAACTTTAAGTTACTAAATCCTCGTAGAATACATTTTACTATATGAATATACTATATACACATAAATAAGTCGAACAACTTTTTCAAATTTATTATATTTATTTTTAATAGTAAAATATTATTAAGTAAACACAATTTTAGTTTAACCGTTTATACTTATTTAATTTATTTTAGAGAATGTATTTGTTTTCACTATTGGACCTTTTTTGTCTATATATTTTATAGTTTTACTATAAATACAAATTTGGCATTGACTTGTATTATATATAATAAGATTCTGAATAAATAAAAGAAAGAATTATTTTTTCAATAATGGGGTTTTTTAATTTATTAAATACCAACATAGAAAGTATATTTTTCCGGGAATAATAAAAAAAATTTTCTATAGACGAATTAATCAATCAGGAATTATATTTAGTGTGTTTCCAAACTTTATAAAAATAACATTTTTTAAATTGTTAACAGATTAAAAACACGTTTAAATAATTTTAAAATACTATAACATTCTAAATAACTTATCTATTTTAATTTTATAACATTTGAAACGTTTTAATTTAATTTTGAAAGTGAATTATAATGTTATCTTTGTTATACTGTAACTATAGTTATAAAATATTAATAATTGTTCGTCATTGATTTTATTATTTTTTGTATATATATATATATATATATATACTTTAAATGAGAACATTGATGAAATGTATACATAAATATAAATTAATTGTAAATTATCTTGTAAAGTAAGTAATTTTCTGTTTAAACATATTGTATCTATTAACCACATTTTTTTTAAAATAATAACGTAAAATGATGATGAATAATTTATCCCTAAATAATTTACGAAAATTTTTTTTTTTATGTAAGGTCCAGTCCGACTTATATTTAAATTCAATTTATGTATCAATTTAAATTGATACAAATAATTTAAAATATATATAATTAAATCCATTTGGTATTGTAATTCAGGTATTATTTAATGAAAATTGTAGGTGGCATACACATTTCAATTATAAACAAGTTATTTAAATACATTGTAAAATTTAATTTCAAACGTTTTTATTTTCAACGTTCACATTTATTAATAAAATAAAACCTAAATTTAAATGTGTTTATATGATTATTATACATATAATAAATATTTTTCAACAGATTTATTTCTTTGGATATTAAGACATTAAAGTTTAACGCAAACGCTATTTTAACAACATGTCCAACACATTATGTTCAATGAATTTTGAAAATATCTATACTCATCTTTAATTTTTATTTTTTATACGAGCACTTAAATTTGAATAAAGTCTTGTATAAGCTTTACATTATATACATTTAGATACAATTAATAACTCGAGACAGAATTGTTTTCTGGGCAGGAATGATTTATTATTGCTTTTTAAATGTAAAATAAATGCATTGCAATAACAGTTAATAGTGCCGAAGTCAACGAATCTGGACGTTTCCCAAACACATCACTACCCAGTCTCTACAGAAGGATTGGAGTTATAGCGAGTCCAACTGTACATATTATATAAAATATGTGTGTATTTTGATAGTTGTTATAGAGACTGTTGACATCGACTATTCGATAGTCGATATAACTTACAATAAATATAAATGTACAGGATTCCTCTAAAAATCTTTTCAATTAAACCGTATAAGCCTTTCGTTTTGTAAAAAATATTGAATAAATGCCGCATTTTTTCTTATACAATCCTCTCAACACTTCGTAATTGAGACAATTATATAAACGACTTGTAGGTACAATTGAGTATTTCGTTAAATGTTTCGAGTCTTCAATATTTGAGGGCGTGTTTTTTTATTTCTTTTTTAAATAAAAATTAAAACTGTATAAAATTTCAAACTAAAAATATTGAATAAGAATATGTTCACGAATTTCATAAAATCACATTATACAATTATACATGAGCAGTCGAGGTTGTATAAAATTAGCGCATATGAAGTTTTAAACAAATGTATTCAATTAGACGGAACGTAATATTTATGTTTTCAATTAAATTTTAATATTTTTTTTTTTATATCTCGTTTCGTATTTAATACATATTTCAGTAATTTTTAATGCATTTTTACGTGTACAGATTTCACACGGCACTTACATAGAGCACATGTCAAATATTTTCTCATCGTAACGATCAAATGCACTCTACACGTGCCCGCGATACCGTTAGAGAAGAGAGAAATTAAAAAATTTAAACCTAATTGTAATATTAATTTTATAAACATTTTAGAAAACAAATCTACAATATTTTTAGGGGGGGATGCGATGAGACGAACCTCCACAACCATCTCTTAGCACGCCTCTGGACTGTAAATATACACGTAATAGTAGCTATTGCAGTATTGAGTATCTAAGTCGAACTCACCTCGGTGTAAGTACGTACGGGCGGTATTTGCGGACTTGACGTGGCGACCCGGCAACGGCAAGCCGGTGGTATCGAACTCGTTGGACATCTGCATCCTGTACAGCTCCAGCATGGCGGCCGGTATCTCCACTTTGGACTTGTCCACTACCGGTCGGCGCTTCATGCCCAGCGCTGCCAGCAAGTGCCTCTCTGCTTGGCCGGCGTCCTTGAACGCGGCTCTAGCGCCCGACGGTCTCGGCGTTTCGCCGCACACTATGCCTGATATCACAGCCACCATCAACAGCACACCGCTTATCATTGTCGATCAAACACCTGCGAAAATAGCCGAACAATATTCCCACGTTAGTTTCGATTCCGTATTTGTCTTAGGCACAGTTGTTAACGTATACATTTATTTATATGCAACGGTCGGTCAAAGCTAACCGAACCGTATTCTGGACAAGGGTTAGAAGATAAATGAAGAGAAAAAAAAGATCAAACGTCGATTTGCGGTTGCAACTCGATCATGATCAACTGCGCGCTTGTATACGGCTGCGATTTAGGCTTCGCACCATTCAGACGTCTCCGGTCGGCATTAAATTCGAATAGGTAGCCATTACCGTAATCGAATATCTGTGATGGCTCTTTTGAGTGCATTGAGCACTTTTTTAGAATTTCCTTCATGAGAAAACCTGAATCATCCCACACATGATTAATTTTCAACACTAGTTGTTCCAGCACGTATGTTTGTTTTTAATGTTTTTAAATCAAATAATTAAAATTAAGTTATTTTGTTATATTTTACAATTTATAGTAATAAACATAAAATACTAGCGCATTATAGTGCCAGACATATTTTTTCTTTTTTTTTGGAAGGGGAGAGTATTTAATTATTTTCTGCAGTTTTGGAATACATACTTACCACCTATTACTTTATATTATCCTATTTTTTGTGAACTGTAAAGTTTTTTGTATCTAATTTTTTTTTTTTTTTAACTAACCTTGTACAACTGTTGACATTTATTATACATACTATACATTTAACATTCCTAACATTCTTGTAAATCACGGGTTTATATTTATTATTATAAGTAATTTATTAAATAATTTATATTGAATTATTTTATTCAAATTATAATTAAAATTTAAACGACTTTCTTTTTTGTTAACAAATACATCTACTATTGATTCTATGTCTAAATCTATATTTCTGTGTACATTTATTAGTGCCAGGCCATTCAATTTATCTTTTGAAGTTGAGTTTCTAAAGTATGTTTTTATACGCTTAAGAGTAGAGAAACTTCAATCAAAAACGGTTGTAACTAGCAATATTGAAAGAAATTTCAACATTGTATATATAATTGGAAAAACATAGTACAGCCTTTAAAAAAATAAGAGATTTCGGATTGGAAGGCACATGCCCCCAAGGCCCCCCCTTTGGCTACGGCACTAACACAATGTGATTCCTAATATTATGCACTCAATATGTTGATACCTATAAACACTAAATACGATATACAATTTAATATTATAAAGGTTTAAGTAAACTTAATATCTAAATGCAACCACTTTCCATCAGCCTCGGTCTAAAATAATATTATAATAAAACCATGTTCCGCCAACGTGAACAATAGAAGAAAATAGTGTTTAACAGGTCATAACCTGAACCTTGTTCACTTCTTCTTAATGCCTAACCGTTTATATCACTGACTAATTTTTACGTTAATTGTTATTAAAGCAGACCTTTTAATATGATATTGAATGAAAAAATAATTATTTACGTAATCACATTGTAACAACAATTTGTTACGATTAAGACATATTTTTATTATTAACATTTTCTTTAAACAAATTTAAAAATATTTTTTAATAACTTCATAAATGCATTTAAACATTGATAAATGATATCACATAAGAAAAAATAAATATTAATGGTTTTAAGCATTATAAATATTTAAAATTCTCGTTGAAGTAACTGAAGAATTATTTTCGTAGATAATGAAGATTAATTAATAACTAATAAAATCTTCAGGTTTGATTGTAAATCATCAAATTAAATTTATATAAATTATTTTAGAATTCGGTATATTTAAATAACTCAATTAATAATAATACGTACTGGCTATTTCACACATTATTTTCATACATGATATAAGAAAAATATACAAACTATTAAGGTAGCGAAGTATTACAAAGTAGTTAGTAGTACTATATATATTTTTTCAAAAATATATTTTTTACAAGAATCTTAACCTAGATATTTTTTTATCGCACACTAACTAAACTAGTGTAGCTTATAAAGTATACATATAAATTATTGTAGCTGGAAATTTTAATTAAACATAATACCACGATAACTAATATATATTTTTCGTTTAAATAATCCTCATAAAAATCATAAAATTTAGGTATTCGATAAAAAAAAAAAAAAAAACTTTAAGATATAAAATATAGGTACATTTTCGTATGGGTAATACTGCGCACAGGTGAGTGTTGTATACTTGAATGAAACATTTATTTCAAGTATACATAATCAAACTGAGAAAAAATCAATATTTCAGAGTTAATTAGTCATCGGGAGGTCAATGGTTAAATATAATTTTCACAGAATAATACGATTTATTAAACATATATCATATTGACATATGAGTATAACATGTAATTCTGACTTTTACTCTAGATTAACTAGGTTTATATGTATTTACGTAACTGATAATTATTTTTGCGAATGACTATAATTCATTTTTTTTTAATTACTAAGACTTGTAAGCAATTATTTTTCGGATTTATTTAATATGGTACTCGATACACGTGCTGTTGAAAATGAAACCTGTATTTAATTGACCGACTACCGTAAAAGGCTTATATTATTATTATTATTATTATTATCAGAATATAATTTACAATCTTCATGAGCACAGAAATAAGAAGACAAGAAAAAAAATTACAGCACGTGACCATCATTGCGATTTTATGTTTCATTGATAATAGTTTTATTTTGTGTCATTCATTTTACGATAGCTAAAAAACATTTGTGATTGGTATTCCACAAAGGTAGTTCTCATAATTATTTTTTTTTTTTTGTTATTCAAGTGCTGGGTTCAATTATATTGTTAGTTTCATCTTGCGTTCACCTGTTATTCTGAGAAAACATCACACCCTGTCACCTCGAAATCTAAAACCAAATTTGATTAATGGATGTTGAATTTTTTTTTTTTGTTTTACTCGCCAAGTACGTATCAGTTCAATATCATGTGAGAATTTCGAAGAACAAAGAAACGACAATTTAATGTAATTCAATAGGTTATAAACAATTGGCCATTTGCTTATAAATATATAATTTATTGAATTTCAAGACCCCTAGGTAACCGTTTAAAATTAAATGTTCGAAACGTCATCGTTTTTCATGAATATTTAATTAAATATTATATGCTAAACATTTAAGCGTTCAATAATAATCAAAGGAAAATATAAATTTAATACCTAATATAATGGACATGGAAATAAACTTCTACCACAGACTATTTCAGTTCTCCTAACTAGAAAGTTATCTAGAGGCATATTTCGAATTTTATAGGTTCAGAATATTTTGCCCTACAATCCTTCGTTATTGTATACTTGTATAATATAGCATAAGCGTATGGAAAATATTTAAGATTAATTTACAAAAAACTGCTTGGCCACACTGTGTTTTCGATTACAGCAAACATAAAACGACCAGAAGAATACAAATAAAATAAATTGGGTTTTAATAGAAAAAATTTTTTTTCGTATTGAGTGTTGGAATAGTCTCAGTGCACTGTTATTTTGGCCATGAAGAAATATTGAATATTTCCCAACAATTTAAGTTCATGAACTATACGTCTATACCGGCGTGTGCTTATTTCGAACTGATCATCGGGCACCGATGCACGCATACAATAGTAGACGTCTCAATTAGACGGTTCATCGTACAAATATTATTTAAATATTACGCACGTGGAATACAGATTGTGTGCGCAAACACCGTACACATTTATTTTCGTTTCGAATCCGTTTTTCTAGGTTAAAACTTAATTCGTGGCGTTGTAAGCGTATATCCAATAACTATCAAGCGTTAAGGCATACGTATTATTACGACTTATATGTACAACTACTGTATCTATGCATAATGATATTCGCTGGCGGTGAATTCGTCGATGGGCCGACCTGCAGATGGAAGTGGTGAGAGGGGCGTGGGGAAGTGCATGCATATTATATTTTGCCTGTGATCTGATGCGGTAACCGTTTCGCCACGCGAGATATCTATACGAACGGTTTCAAGGTAGACGGATGACCTTTCAAAAAGTGACAATGGGTGTACGGAATCGCGAGGGAAAAAAAATCCATTACCATCGCGAAAGAGAAAGGTCACGACGACAGCCGTTGGTTAGATTAACGGCATTTTGGAACAGGTTGTTATCGCGTTTTATATTATTATACAGCCTATATAGATAGTAGGTGTGTGCAAGGCATGGGTACCTCTATGTATAGATACACACACACACACACACATGGAACAGTACACGTGCGGTATGATGTAGTTGGCATTATATATGCGAAAGTTGACGAGATAAAAGCAAACGAAACAACGTGTTTTCTGTGCAACGTTATATTAAAAATGTCAAACTGTTTTTGTTATCGTTATTTTGTCGTTCTGCGACCAATTTACGAAAAACGTGCGTCGAAAATGTGAGTTCGGTAAGTATTGATTTTTTTTTCTTAAATAAATGATACACTAAATATTCATACATACATACATATATATGTGTGTGTGTATGTGTGGAATTTTCATAAAAAACCTACCCGATCGAGTATATTTGAGATCACACGCGTGCAATTACTTCGGGAGCCTCCAAGCTCAGATAGAACACAAACATGCGTTGTGTTATAATACATAATACTATACTTTATTCGTGCGTTTGTGTAATATAATATTGTAATGCGTTTGGAACTCGATCGGAAAAAAAAATTCAAACGATAAAAACTGAAATAATCGCTGTGAGAGTGGTGCGCGATAACGACGCAATTATTATTCTGTAACACAGATTTGATTCGATTTTTATTTTTATTTTTCCTTTATTCCCATGCGTTCGCGCATTTCAATAACACGCGTTTTGTGTAGGAACACGATTAATACTGTAACAATAATTATTCACTGCTAGTTCTTGCGGTGCCCATTGTATGTTTGCATGATTAACTGATAACGAGACGGAATATAATACCGTACGTACGGCGGCGAGCGGTCCCCCCAGACATCGCGGAGCCTACCGACAGAAACCAGTTGTATAGTTTTGTGGTACGCGATAGTGTTTTCGTTTAATTTATTTTTTTTTTCCTCGAGCGAGCCCGGTGGAAATAGGTTACATTACAGTACATATCACACGTACCTGTGACACGGTCTTTGTCGGTTTTCATGCCGACAAATCTGGTCGGCGTATTCGTTCGTCGTACCAAAAAACAACAATTTCGGAACGAAGCGAGGTTGCGACTTGCGCGGGCCAAGTCAACCGCGGATTCGGAACGACGTACACGCGTGGTATGGTATGGTGATTTTAGCAAAATACGACGTAAGGCACGCGTCCAACACCGATAACCGAAATCCACGGTCGGACGAATGAGAGGCGATGACGTCAGTTTGCGTACAGTTGATATTATTATTAATATTTTAGTGCTATTTTTCGGCCGGTCCGGGGACGTACACGCGACGTGTGTGCCCGCTGCTGCCTCTATGCCCGCACGGCGACCGTGGTGTTCCACTGTGACGAACGAAACATGATGTGATCGGAGATGCGGTCCGATCGTGTAGATAATCCGGACTGAGTTGCGAGACGGGATCGGAAATGCGTCGATATTAGAGACACAATAGCGGAGATCGCCGCTAGAACGACGGAGAGAGAGAGAGAAAAAGAGAGAACGAGAAAATAAAAACAATTAAATGTAAACGTAATCCGTTCGAACGTGTTCGTCCCGTGTGGCGCTTCGACGTGTGCGTTGTAGAGTACCGCGCGGTTCGAGAGTGGCTCGTGAACTGATGACAAACACTGGTGTAGTTGCCGGCGCGGCTGGTCGGTCGGTCGGGTTGGTGGTAAACGCTCCCACCAAGACCCCACGGCCACACAGCAACGGCCGGCGGACGGGTGGGTGGCGACCGTCCGCGGAGTAGGGGATAGCGTGACCACCTATGTGGAACTCCCCCCGTTCGCATAACTACCTCTCCTCGTGATAGACCAAATGGCTCTCTTAGAAAATAAAAAATAAAACAGAAATAATAATGTTATACAATTTTCCAAGGGATTTCTCATCGTCCGACCCTACAACGCTATCTCAGCGCGATAATCCTGCCGACATTTCCTCCTATAAGATATTTTGAGCGCAAATCATTCAAAGTTATTTGGGAGAAAAAGGCTTAAGCATAGAACTTCATAGAATTCTTTGGAACTATTATTATGTATACTATTATCTCGGGTGCTTGCTTTAAAATTCAGGGTAATAACACCTTAAACTTACCTGCGATTTGCGCCCATGTCCATTTTATGTTTGTATTTTTTCCGTGTCCCAATGGAATGAACCGGATGAGAACACTATATTATATAAATAGCAACTTTTCCGAATCCCTTGTCCTCACATCCAAAAAAATATGAAAACATTTTTAACTACGAGGAAAACTATCAGAATCTGATTATGATATATTGTAATGGTGTCAACCAGTGGCGTAGCCAGGGGGGGCTAAGGGGGCTATAGCCCCCCCCCATATAGGCCGTGTTTATATGTATAATGTATCTTGACTATTCAATAGAATCAATGGATGCTCGTTTTAATCAAAGGCTTATTGATGTTATGCCACTTGAAGGACTTATTCCGGCCAATTTAAATATGTATGAAGGTAAAAATATTATAAAAGCTGCTAAAATATATGTCCAAGATCTCCATGATGATACCTCATCTGCAATCAGAACTGACCTGTTCATATGGAGGCAACAATTGAGTCAAAATACTAAAAATACTATTCCAAAACCGAATTCTGCTCTTGATTCACTCTCTCATCACACCAATCTTTGACCTAACATTAAAATACTTTTACAATTATTCGCCACGTTACCAGTTACCTCTTTCACTCCGGAAAGAACGTTTTCAGCACTTAATCGCTTAAAAATTTTTTTATGAAGCACCATGTCGGAAAATAGACTGAACGGGTTAGCTATGGCTAATAAAAATAAAAAAGAGCAATTCGATTAAAGTGAAATAATAACTGAATTTGCCAGAAATTCGCCTAAGAGGATGCAGCTGTCAGAGTGGAGCAAGTGACTGAACACTGAAACCAAAATTATTATTATTATTATTATAAATTATATATTAATAAATATTTTTAAAACTATACTAAAATGCTTGAATTACGTTTGGAAACTTGGTGGTAGATGGTGGAGGGGTTAAGGATGAATTCTCATATCCTCTCTTATCTTACTTATCCAAAAAAGTGGTTAGCCTCCCCCCCATTTAAAAATTCTGGCTACGCCACTGACGTCAACCGTCAATATATCAATTGATCTAAATAATTTATTTTCGAATAAAAACAAAAACTTACAATAAAAATCTAATAAATGAGATACGTTTTTATTAAATGGGTTAAATATAGTACATGTATTGTATGGTTAAATTTTACTAAATATATAAAAACAAAATTAATTTTTGAATAATATACTATGAAATCAATTTTTCTTTAATGTTTTTTATAATTTATATTGTATAATAATTTTTTTACTATTTATTAAAAATGATAATAGTACAATTTCATGTATTAATGGAGATTATATCTGAAGACTTAAGACCTACTTGTAAAACATGTATTTCATAAACAATAAAATTGTATTTTGCTAATATAAGTCATAAATCATTATTTTACAAATCGTTTTAATCTCGAGCAATAATTATTGGGTGTTTTTGCGTTTTGATAAGAAAAATATATTTTTTTCGTGGGATAACTAAAATCTATCGTAGACAATTTTTTAATTCGATTTTTGCATCGCCTACTCTTAAAAATATAACATATTTTAATTAAATACATAGTTCTCAAAGAAATCAGTTATTAAGTAAAAATACTAATGTAAATATAAATAATATGTAGTACTCGTATTGAGTGTTATGAAACCAAATGTCTGAAATAAAAACCACACACGCTCACGATTATAGGTTAACTCATTATTTATATGGTAACGGAATATTTTACGTATTTGTTCGTGATTAATCTATGATAATGACATCGAGACTTATTAAGAGCATTAAACATTTTAGCGACCCAAACGAACCGCAACTTGCAGTTCATATTACTGCTACGGAACAAAATATTTATCGTCAAGTATAATCGGTTAAAACAATAGCACAAGGGGAGAGGAATTACAGTTTCCTCCGCCACTGCTTCGAATTATTTATTCACATGCGCTCGAGGAAAACATTTGTTACGAAATACTTAAAATAATAATGGGACTTGCATATGTTCGCGTACATAATTATGTACTCCAAACGCCTTATCGATTTGATCCACGTGCTGTTCGCGTCATCGAGAACATGTTTACACGATGATTAACGACACCACGTTATACAAACTGGATATAATTCGTAAGAGGATGGTACTTTTTTTTTTTACATTTTTCCGGAGTCGCAAAAAAAAAAATTGCGTGCACCTCTGTTCGGAGAGAAAAAAAAACATAATTTTTTCTCAACGTTCGGAAAAAAATGTAAATAAATAAATAAATAAATAAATAAATAACCGAATCTCCGCGTTTCCTCCCGCAGTCGCGATCGGAGGCGCGCGTGTGCGCGTGTGTGCATGCACATTAGTGTCAATAGGTTACCGACTTGTTTACAACATTGATCGATTGTAGAAAAAAAACATGCTGACACGAAAAACAAGTTTGAAACGAGAAAGAAAAAAAAACCGTATACATTCCGCACACCGGCCCGTACGTGGTGCACGCATGATTAAGGGCACGAATGTGCCCTGGATGCGCGCATGCAGAGACCTATGATGATAATTATAACAACAATGGATATCCAGATACGCGCGTGTCCAAGTGGACGAGCCGCCGCGGCGGTCTTGTTGCGGACGGATGTCACTGCGCTGTTGACATCAAGTCCGGTGTTCGGCTGCGTAAGCGGCAGGCCTGCGGGCCCGGATGCACGACGTGAGTCCCGCGGTCTAGCCGGAGGTGCGTGCGTGTGCAGCCGTGACAACGCTACGGCAGCGGCGGCGGCAGCAGCAGCGGTGACGACGCACCACGGCGGTGTGTACGTCGCCGCCGAGCGGTAGCACCGCGGCAGACACACGGACGCCGCCGATAGCAAAGCGAGCGAGACCGGTCTCCTTTTGATTGGCAGCGTGGGTGTGGTTTCGTACGTGTGCGTGTGCGTGTGCGTGTGCCCATACATACGGCCGGCTGCAACCGGTCGTCGTGCGTACGTTACGGTGTGCGTGTGCGTCCGTGCGTATGAACTATGAGTAGTGTGTGCACATCATACGTGCGTCTATGATTGCTCTACGCTATTCCACGTGTTCGTATGCGTGCGAGCGCTCGCGCGCGCGCGCGGCCGCCGCCACTGCCCTCGAAGTGGACACGACAAGACCACCGCGGCGACGAGGATACTCCACGTATTTATCATCCACCGCCGCCGTGCTGTTCCCTCTTTCGCTTTCATCGTTTTTCTTGGAGCGGTTTCTTTTGCTGCAACCCAACCGTTTTTTTTCCCGGTGCATTCCACTTTTAGGACCAAGATCAGGGGACTCTACACTCGCGACCGTGGCCCGGCCACCATCGCGGTGTACAACTGGGTTCTGTTAAATAACGGTTAGGACATATTTAGGTTTATGGTTGTACTGGAATGTGTACTTTATCGCGTGGCATAAATACTTTAAAAAAATGATCACACGCTATATAATATAGTATATTTTATATCGAATTCCAAAGGTCGGAAAACCGAGAGCACCTATTTAATTAAGAAATGCCATGCTGGTTTCTTTTTAAACTTCAAATAAAATTCAGATCCGCCTTCCTCACGTATTAACTGCGTTCTTCATTTGCTTTCCAATACTTCTATAGGGTATGGCTGTTGAGCGCTCAATAATAAATGTATGTGTACATACCGTTTTCAATTACATATTGATGCAATTTTATAAGATATATTTCCATTTTAAGTCGTGTTGGTAGCTAAAATATTTAAGCAAATAATACAACTGTTGAATGCTGCCTCTACGAAAAATATTGTTCATCACACATTCCTAAAACAATTAATGAACAAAACGAAAGTATTATTCGGTTATTAGTATTAACAGCTACGATAATTGTTAAAAATATAAGTAAAAAATCATTTTGAATCTATGTAAATTAAATATTTTATTACAATTAATAAATGTTTTAACGTTTATGCGTCTCGGTTTTATATCGAGCCTAGTGTGTTATTATAAGATTATGACATCCAAATATTATGAATTGATTTAATTGGAAAGTCTGCTGTAGAACTTTTTATCATTTTTGTTTTTCGGCAATTTTTTAATTTTAGGTTATTTTACGATAAATAAGATAATAAATAATAATAATAATAAATAAGATTATAAATTAAATAGTTTAAGAGTAATATTTCACCAATAAAGAGGTTGGACTTGTGGATTTTAGTATTTCAAAGAGGAGTTTTATAAGTGTTTATTGAGTTTTACACTTTCGAATATAAGTGAATTTTAGACGTGATGACGATCAAGAATAAACTTTAGTTAAATTGTTGTTTAATGTGTTATATTACATTTAAGGTCGTTTGGATTGATTTTATAATCTGATTTGATTGTAAATTATTAAGTAAAGAAGTTTTCTATCGATTGGTTTAATTTAAAACTGATTTCTAAAACTAAAAAAAAATTATTCAATTTACATGATTTTCAAGGTTTAACGAAATAATAGTTAAAAAATAGAATGATAAGAAGGTTGCTCATCAACAACTTAGTCTATAGACGTCGAGAGGAAAATAATAGGTTGATCAAACGTATGCATATTATGGACCATTAGA